ACCAGTTCCGTAAGACAGTTAGCCGGGGGAATAGATATTTAAGTGACCCTACAATACATTTTTTTCCAATTTTGCCTTTAAGAGCGAATTCTTCCTTACCGGTTTTGTCTTTTACCGTGCAGGCAAAGGGTATTCACGGCGCTTTACAGTCTACGGTTTGTCACAAAACGCAGCCGACGCCGAAATGATCGATAACATGAATATTTCAATAGCGGACTACTTTGCTGAGCGTTATTCCATCCATTTGAAATATCCAAAATTGCCCTGCGTGCGGGTAAGGCAATCATTGTGGCTTATTTATCCTCCACCGTTTCATTAAGATAAAGCCTAAGCTGAGCGAATACATGCCAATGGAACTGCTCTATGTACTGCCCTACCAACTCCCGAAGGCAGATAAAGCGGACATTGCAAGCGAGATCATACGCTGTTCATCAGTTCGTCCACAAGATCGCTTCTTCGAGCTGGACCACTTTGTAAAGGACTTCGTTCGAAAGTGCGTGATTTATTTGGCCAGTATCATCTGGTTCTCCTTTTAGACAACATCGTTTGGCTAGGGATTTACACTTGGATGTGAGTGCAGTGAAGCCAACGGATGTCCCAGCGCGTGTTCTACCCCAACCACAAGCCATCTTCCATGGGCAGACTACAATACTTGGACGTGGAAAGTGGAATCCGGCCCCCTTCTACCGGCCAGTTGGCGGCCCGACTTTGAAGTGGGCAATCCTTGCGGTCCCCCCAGATAGGGTTGGTCGCCTTCCTACATGGATGTCATCTGAACTTGTCTTATGCTGTAGATTTGGTAGTTCATGAAACGTACAAGAGTATTTGGCGAGCATACGTAGGCTTTTGATAAATTCTCACCAGCCCATTACATATATATGGGAATGGGGTCTAAGTTAGACAAGCCGTCAATAATGTTCGTCGTGGGAATCAGGGAAGGGGTTGATAAGATGAGGATGGTTACGCAGACAGGGCTTGATGGAGCCAGTCTAGGGAAGGGGGGGGGAGACAAAGAGAGCACGGACAAGTTCATGCAGCTAAGTGACTGTGGGCCATGGCAGACGTGGAGCCTGTAGGTGGTGCTTTTGTGCAGACAACACCGGCTTCCTCAGTATGATAGAGGTCGCTGCTGTTGTTGCTAGCAGGCGGTGAACCAGGCTCTTGGTATAGTTTGGTGGGACCTTATAAATCACCTAGAAGGCTTCATTGGGATCCACACGATGTCCGGAATCAATAATGTGGGCGAGAATTGCGCTGTCAGCAAAAGCGTTGCCAACAAAAGCGACCGTT